ATGTTTGAAAGCAAATCCGAAATAGCATCACACTTTATTACATGGCAAACAATGTTTGATATAAAGGTATAATTCACAACCTTGGCAGTGCCTATTGTAAATTTGAATGACAAAAATGTTTTCATGTTTCAAAAAAATAATTAATGCCAAAAATCTCCCTTTAAGACATTTATAAGATGATTATAAAGTATAATAATGCAATATAGTAATCTATTTTTATGCAGCACTATTTTTATTTTAACACGTTTTTGCAGGTTACCACCAATGGCATTAAAGAGCTTGTATCCTTCATAAAGAGTCCTTCATTTCAAAACCTACATGCTGGAGAACATTACATAATCCCAGAGGTTAAATCAGGATGTGGTGGAATGCTTCTTCTCTATTCACAGGCAAACTTGTGGAGGCATAAACAACATGACTGCCTAAACATATGGCTACAATGTCAACAGTGTTCTTGCATCGTCAACAAAGATTTTATCCACAAAGTAAACAAATGTTTACAACAGAGATGATCTTGAACTTGGACAGCAGAAATGTGACTCTACCCTTCTAAAAAGGGACAATGTTCAAGGAATAATGAAGAAACACCTCTGGTCTGTACACCTCGAGTGATGTTTTCATTCAAGTGTGCATATACAGTTAAAATGTCTTATACAATCCGATAATCGTCACCACAGAATAAAGACACACAGTAGGTCAACTCAGCCAAAAAATTATAACAGCTGCCCTGCATGATTTCCAATGATTAGTCATCAAAATGCTGACGTCATGGTCATAGCTAGTGCGCTTATGAGAGGCATTCACCCCTTGGACGTCTGCCATTTTGAATATTATCAGTGAATGCCTCTCAGAAGCACACTGGCTAGAACTATGGTGTCAGCATCAGGGCATTTTTTAAGAATTTGTCTGTGGGGGATGGATGCTTCATATGATGAAGCACATCATGTGGGTAGCTCGTTGCAACTATCGGTTTCAAGGCAAGATGCCCGTCTAAACGGAATGTCTCAAGAGACTTATCATTCATATCATGTTTGTCCTTCGTCGTCTTGGTCGGAAGTACAACTCACCAGCTCAGGTTCGATCTTTTGAGGAGTGGCTTGCAAGTGGTCAGTTGGGTCATTTCGTGGGGGAGAAGCTGGTCTTCTCTTTTTAAAATCTTTGTTGTTCTGTGACCGGGGGTTGCCTTCATTGGTTGTACTGCCGGGATTGGTTCAACGATTCTTTTTGTCTTCCTAGATAGATATTAGATTATAGTTTTCTTTGGCTGCTCTTCTCTTTGGAGGGGGGCGTTTTTTATTGCCTAGTTTAGTTATTAGTTGTTAAATATAATAATCCCTGAGCCGGCAGCGTGAAGTGCCGTGTGAGGGTACTAATTCCCCCCGGCTATTTACACTTGGGGAAAAGGAGCATTAGCCAAGTCTAGAGTTCATCAATGAGTGCGGGCATTGGTCACAAACCGTGGGTGGTCATCCTCAATGATCTCAAAAATATGGCTGTTTGCCAGGAATGGGATAAGCAAGATTTCAATTTTCAAAAGCATATATTTGGAAAATCACGTTTCACACAATGAGCTTTGAAGCAATTTTTGTTTGAAGAAATGAGAAGAATTGATTTACTGTGGAAAATCGTGGAATATAGGGCAAGTTTGCTTTGAATGTTTAATGTTTATTAATTTTGCTTTAATTTTATATTGCATAAAACATGCACTGCTTTCCTTTTCAATGAAGCTGTATTAAAGCTTGCTAAATTACCCCTGTTTATTGAAGAATAAAAGATAAAATGTAAAGGAGAGCAAATTTCATTTGAAAACCGAACTGAAATTACTCAACAATTTGAACTTATTTTGTTTTATAAACTATATAAAAACCTGTACAGTTTTATATTGGAAAATGCAGTTTATAGTTTAATATTAAAATTAACATTTCAAAAATTTTACGAAGCGATTCAAGTTAAATTTTACATTAAATCAAAGCTCACAAAATGCAGAACAACGTACCTACACTACAGTACATATTTCGGAAATTCATTGTTATATAGTTAAAAGCAATAATCTTTCAACTATTTCTGGTGTGTTGTACAAAAAATATAGTAAAAATTAAATTTATCGTGTTGCATGGCAACACCGATGTAAACGCGAGCCTGCATTCAGTCGCAGGTTCAGTGTTAATCAATTACAAATACTTCATGTTAAATCAATGTTTGGAAAATACATGCGAGGGTTTGCTGCATGCATGTATTTCTAGTAATAAATATATACTAAATAGGCTTAAATGTACCGATTGGGGCATCAGAATAAAAAACCCTGTAGCTCGTGTCACTCAAACACACATGTTTTGCCGGTTAAACTATAAGATACCAAGTAAATATTAACATGGCTTGAGAAACTTTGCTGAAACCTTTCCGTCACAATGCAGTAAGGCTGCCGTGCTCATCTCCATGATGGCAGCTGTGTGTGTGAGGAGAACCATGAAACGCATGGTGGGCAATCACAACGGACTTGCCGTACTTGTGCAATGAGTAATAAAGCATTTGTTGATGTCATAATCGATTGCTTGTAAGCGCCTTTTCACTGTGTTTTCGTAGCATAAGTGTTCCATTGAAATATCGGTGGCAACCGGCGTAGAAGGCATCGCTTCTCAGCCTTTTGGCCTTAAATAAGATCAAGTTTGAATAATAACAGCACTAAATTTCAATTTATTTTATATATTTGCATATTAAAATAAAGTTTAAAGATCTGTTACACATTATCATGATATTTTCAAGTTTGATAATTGTCGTGGTCAAAAGTTATTTGAATTTATTTGTTCATATTCGTGTTAATTTAGTGTGGGCTCGCTACAAATTGTGGAATTTCATATTTTGCTTATAACTTCTCATCTGCTGGTTGGATATATTTAACATTTGCTGTGTGGATAGTGACACTTGTTTCTGTGTTATTGTATTATTGTGGAGTCTTCACTGTGTTGAGTTGAAATATCTGGTTTTTAAATCATTGTCAGTGGGTATATTGTGGAATTAAATATCACGTCAAGATCTTGTTTATATTGTTAACTTTGTTCATGTTTATTTTGTTTGTGGCAAATTATTTGTGTTATCTATCGCTTGGACTGTATTTATCTTGTCTTTTGTACAGTTTTGATGGTGTATTTCGTGAATTACTAGTTCATTGGAGTTTGTTGCATACTGTATGATATTATTTGTTTATTTCCTGTCATATATATTTTACTACTAATATCTTGCGATATATTCAAGAAACCTGGTTGAAACTTGGCTTATTTAAAGACACTCTGGTTCGCTTCATCTCTAGCAAGTTTCATTATTATACCTTTAAAGGGATTTGAATTATAAAGACTTTTCTGATTTTCCAACCGTCATTTGAATTTAAAATTCATGGCAATTAGTATTCGGTTTGTCTCTAATTGTGTTATGAGTCGGGATTTCCCTCAATTACGTCATGTGGTTTCTTAAATCAAGTGAATGCATAATCAGACAGTGCTATAGTACTGTTGTGTTGGGGTCTTTGGATTTTATTATTAATTGGTGTTGGATTATCATACATCATGTCTAATGATCATTGTTACAAATCCTTTATTAAATGCCCAGATTGTAGTTTTATCACTCAGTCACAAGCAGGACCTTGGCATTCACCACTTGAAGTGTCATAAAGTTATAATTCCTGATAATGTCAAGTGCCACTTATTTATTTTGAATGTACTCAAATGACATTTTACCTCCTCGAAGGACATTTACTCGAATGCTACTACAACAGTAAAGAACCTCCCAGTCTGAAGAAACCAATCCGATCAATATCAATGCAGGTGTTAAGCAAGGCTGTTCTGTCAGTCCTATTCTCTTTAATTTAACATCAGAACTATTAATTCAATCTATAGTTTCAAAATGTAATGAGAACTCGGACATTTATTTAAGCTTCATGGCCAACCTATTTCCATCTTAGCTTATGCTGATGACTTGTTACTAATTAGTAGAACCAGAGAAGGTTTCCAATGTGGTTTCTGTGGCAGAGTTGTCTTTTACACCAGACTAATGCTCCACCCTAGCCTTAACTTGTGGAAAGAAAGAAACATCTAGTGTTAGTAATACATCCTTTCAGGTACAAAGTTGTGACATTCCTTTCCTTGCAAAAGAAGAATCATATAAATACCTTGGTGTCCTTATTGGTTTGATCTATGATGCCAATGATATGAACACCATCACTGAAAGGACCTTGTAAAGCTGCGGGATTCACTTCTTACGCCATGGCAAAAGTTGGATGCAATAAGGACATTTATTCAACCGTGTTTGACCTATGCCCTACCTGCTTGCCCAGTTACCAGACTTTCTCTACAAAACTACTGTAGGAAACTTGTCGATGTCCTTTGATCTATTTGCAAACTTGCCAAAAGATCGACAGTGGCTTATTTCTTTGATGAGAGACATGTACAGAAAGTAGTCCAAACAATCAAGATCTTGTCATCCAATGACCCCTTCATCCACAACATCGCACATGGTCAACTTAAATCCGTTGTCTATCGCTGTTTACATCGTGAACTGACCGAGCAAGAAATAGATAAGTTATTACCCGGATATAATGAGGGAGATCTCCAGAATCATAGTCGTGCAAATAACAGTCAAACATTATGGTCCTGCTGTAGAATCTCGGCTAACAACACAACATCTGCAAATGCCAAATCTGTCGCCTCATACCTTCATCGCCAATGTTTGGAGAAACATGCAAATAATCTTAAATCCCTACATGATCAAGGCAAAGTTGCTAGATGCCTCCAGACATCCAAAATACCATCCACGAACAGCTGGTGTTATGATGGTACTGGTATTCGATTTTGCGACTGGAGTTTTATCCATCATGCCAGAACAAATGCCTTCTCACTAATGACGTTAAGACTAGGTTCTCTAATAATAATTCACTGACCTGCCAAAACAGTTATAGTAATAGAGATACTGAAACCCTCCCTCATATCATCTGCCACTGCTTTCCAAATATGCCCTCTATAACATCGAGACACAATCAAATTCTCAAGAGACTTACTAACACCATTTATCGCGGCTCTTACACAGTTGATCAAACAGTTCCAGGTGCACCTGGTAATAATCAGCCAGATTTAGTGGTTACGGATGGTAATGAAGTCACCATAATTGACGTTACATGCCCATATGAGAATGACGAGGATACCCTTGTATCTGCTGCGGAAAGGAAAGAAACAAACTACCATTACCTAATTGATCATTTCAGATGCTTAAATCTGCAAGGGAAAGTGTTCGGTTTTGTCGTGGGTCCACTTGGTGGTTGGTATCCAGGAAATGAGAAAGCCCTTGATGAACTATATATTAGCAAGCATTATGGAACTTTGTTTAGAAAACTCTGCTGTGCTGACTGTATTAAAGGTTCAAGAAACATTTAGGTGGAACACCTTACTGGGGGTTCATCAATATTAAATAGTACATAAAAATCGAACAGTTGTTACTCTAATTACTATATATCATCAACTTTCTTTCAGAGTGAACAATTTTTCAAACATTTCAAATTATAGTCAGCAAAGAAATTTACATGGAGTAAACCCAACCAATCAATTCAAACAAGGATTGACTGCATCTTCATACCTAGAGAACTCACAGAATCAAGGATAGTCACATGCCCCCTATCCGATCATGGAACAGTGACAATGACCATCTCCTCTCATGGAACAGTGACAATGACCATCTCCTCTCCCCCCCCCAAACAGCCCAGGGGACCTGGGGTATGGAAGCTAAATAATGAGCTTTTATACTCAGTTTGTACAAACTTGGTTTGCCACTGTCCTGATGGAATTGTGTGATCAAGGAAAGGTAGCTCGTTGTTTGAACGATGACCAGTATGCCAACAGTTCTTCCTGAAACTGTAATGGTTTGAACATTCAGTTCAAAGATTGGCGATGTATTCACTTGTGTTCGTATATAAATGTGGTTCATATATGTACATGACATAAACACCTTCTTCAGATTATTGGATGACTCATCAAGAAAGTTATGATGTTGGAATGTGGTGGGAAGATCTAAAACAGCAGGTCAAGCGCATATCTGTGCCGAACTCAGTGCGATTAGCACAGAAAAGGAATAGTGAAAAACGAGAAATCCTGCAAAAATAAATAGACTGAAAGACAAGGATACAGATAAGAAAGAACTCGAAAGCGAAACGAAATGACTCAAAGAGCTACTTCATGGTAAAGAAAAACTATTTTGACATCACAGTTTCAAACATTTTCCAGATTATTTATATGGCATTGCACAAATATAAATAGGCAAGGACTGCCTGGAGGTAGCAAACCAGGAGGTTGGCCCTGAAATCAACCAGACCTCTTCCACTACACCTCTGAGGTTACGGTGGGCGTAGAGTGCGGTCAGTTATAGGGTTTGGTTGCTCCTGTATCAAGAAAGGGTAGAATGTTCTGTTTCTTGAGTCAAGGTATGACTTTTTAGTCATACCTTGTTTATATTATTATCTTCCCAGATATTTGAGGATGTCACCAGAAAGATTTGAACACTTGCTTTCACTGGTGGCACCCCTTATTACGTAAAAACCATGCAACAACAGGACACCTGTCTCTCCTCAAGAGAGACTGATTCTGACATTGAAATTTTTGGCCAGTGGAGACTCGCAACACAACAAAGTCATTCATTTGCATTTAGACTTGGGAAAACAACTGTGAGCAATGCAATATTAGAAACAACCCATGCAATTTGGATTGCCTTATTTAAAATGTCCAACTTCAGTTGATGAATTTGTGAGGCTTGCTAAAGAGTTTGAGGATGAATGGAATTTCCCTAACTGCCTTGGTGCTCTAGATGGGAAGCATGTGGCAATAGAATGTCCCAAAGGAAGTGGATCTGCCTACTTCAATTATAAAATTTTTTTCAGTATTGTCATTATGGCAATGTGCAATGCCAAGTATATATTTACAATGGTCTAGACATTGGTGGATATGGTAGAGACAACGACGCTGCTATATTCGAGAAGTCACAATTTTGGCAGGCATTTACACAAAGGAAATGAAAGGAGTGCCATGGCTCATTAAACCATATCCAGATTATACCGATGCCGTCAAACCATTGAAAATGCATTTGGCATTTTAGCTGCCAGATGGCGGGTATATAGACGACCACTATGGGGTGGACTACATGGCATAACTAACATTGTGAAAGCTACCATATGCCTACATAACTATCTGATAATGACAGATAATCCATTCTACACTCCACAAGGATTTGTTGATTCAGAGAGTGAATCTAGTGAGATTGTTCAGGGTGGTTGGCAGTGCAGAGGGGCAGGTTCCTTGGCAATTAGCGCATGTAACAAGCTTGGGACCATTGCTGCCAGAATAAAAGACTATCAATAAGCTAATACATTATTTTAAGAACATAGAAATTCATATTTTTGTAGTTTCAGTTGCCAGTAGTCTTGTTAGCATGCCATATTCATTTAATTATAAAAAAAATAATATCAACTCAACTCATAAAATTTGTAGACATTGAAACCGAGTGTAGCGATGCATTCTACAGGGATTAGGATATGCATACATTGTCAAACATTTTAACCTACTATACCTTTTTGCTTTTTTTTTAGTCTGTCCATTTCTTTGTGATGACCTAATTTTTAGCATTTATTTTGAAAAATAAATAAAAAAGAATGACTTCGAAAACTCAATTGATAGTTGTATTATTTCTATCAATTACTGGTAGAATTTGAGGTTGTATTATTTCTATCAATTACTTGTGTGCATCCCCAAATACCATAGAATCTTATATACACTAGATAGTGCATCTAATTATTCTGCAATTCAAAAATTGAAGCCGTGATTGCAGACTCAGGACATTCCCATGAAATGAGAAGACTTACTTAAACAGGGAACTTAAACATTAAGTTAAACCTATTCAAAATACATTTTCAATCTATTCAAATGATAAAAGTTGTTGTTTTTTAAGAGATGCACTATCTAGTGTATGTAAGATATCTATGCCAAATACTTTTAGCTCAACTTCATGGGTTTTCTGCACATTGTAAAGACAACACTAATTGATATCTGAATACAACATCCATGTTTATTATTGTACATGCATGACTACATTTACTCTTAGTTTTTTCTTTCTTATCTCTTTTCTGCCATTTTAGTATAAAGTACTTAATACATTATGTATAAAAAAGCTTTAGAAACAACATTCAGTTTGGTACAAGTCTGCAGTACTGGTAGGTTTTTCAGAAATTGTCATTGTGTGGTTTTTCAAAAGTTGTGATAGTGTACTTCAAAAATGACTCAAGGCAAAAAGGTAGTAAGCCATAAAAACAGAGCAATACAAAATAAACTTAACAAATTACAATAAAGTTTCACTATTTTACTAGATTTCAGAAGTAATCCTTTAACAATTGTGTCCTACATGCACACTAAAATGTCAAGGCAACAGCAGTCAAGTACTGTACTGTAAATTACTACAACTTTTGATAGTTGGCAAATTCTCCAGATGCATGATGAAAGGTATTGAAATGCTGTGGGTGCTGTCCATATTTGTCTTGTGAAAAAGGGATATTTATTGCAGAAAGAGGCCCACTGAAGGGAGATGTAGGTGCAGGGGTTGATGGTATGCCAAATTCAAAACTTTGAAGCATTTGTAAAATCTGGCATTTTGCTAAGGGTTTTCTTTCAAGAGGTAGCCTTCTAATTTGGGCTACTAAACCTTTGCAAAATAAATCTTCATCTCCAGATTTATCACTTAATTTATTAACATGGGAGCTGAAGGATTTTTCAAAAGTATCAACCCTTTGCCCATGGTCTGTTGTTTTTGCTCATTTTCCTCACTTGTCCCAGGGAAGAGGAGGTGATCTCTGGTGAGGGTGAGACTGATATATTTGAGACATTTCCAAAAGAATCATCGTCTTCCTCCTCATGTTCGACATCGGTTTGAACAAAGGATGAATCATTCTCCAGGTTACTAAATTCGCTGATGCTGCTAGATTCTGTATCCGAAATTGTGCCCACTGGCAACAAACTGCTTGATGACAGACATGATGGTAGATTTGTGAAGGTCTTTCGATTTTCAATAAACGTATCTAGCCATCGGTAACTGTTCGAATCCTCGCTATCTTCCGATGCCCTTCCTGAGCCTGATGGTTTTCTTTTCTTGCAATTCCGAACGTAATTTGTGCGTATATTCTTATATTTTCTTGTGCATTCTTCAATAGATAATCCTGTAGCTTCAGCAACTTTACTCCAAGCATTATCCTTTTTACCTTTATCTTTAAAATCTTTTGAAAAAGGATCATATAAAATAGGGTATTGCCTTGGTACTTGGTATGGGTACTTTTTCCATAAACGTTTCGTTTGTCTTAGCCGCCATTTTGTTTTTGAAGAAAGCGCACAGCCTGGAAAAAAGTGAAAAGCGGCAGACAATTGATTTCTGGTTTGAGGCGGAGAAAGAATCATGCGAAAGCCTGGTAACAGAACTCGAATTAACAAACACACTAAGGTGATGTTGAACAACAAGTCACCCGGGGTGGATGGCTTGACCAGAGAATTTTATGTCAAATTTTGGGACCGCTGCATCTAGGGCATTGACAGATGTAGCAAATCATAACTACAATAGGATGGCAATGTCGGACATCCAACAAAGAGCTCTCCTAAAACTACTGTTCAAGAAGGACGACATGGAATTACTCAAAAACAGGAGACCCATTTCCTTATTGAATGTTGATTACAAACTTATTGCCAAGGTACTAGCCTTGAGACTATGTAGGGTTCTGCCAACGGTCATTCACCCTGACCAGACATGTGGGATACTCGGCAGGTCCATACATGAGAACATAATGAAAATACAGCACATTGTTCACCACACAGAAAAGGGAGGGCAAGCAATTATTATCAGCCTTGATCAAGAGAAAGCCTTCAACAGAGTGGACCAAGACTATTTGCTAAAAGTCTTAGATAAAAAGAACTTCGGCGCAGCTTTCCAACAGTGGATATAAACGCTTTACTACAGAGCCACCGCAACAATCAGCAACAACAGGTGGATAAGTGATCCAGTACCATTACAGCGAGGGCTGCGATGGGGATTTTCTTTCCAAGTGTCCTTCAAAGGCTCCAGCTGTTCAGTGGTCGGGTGTGCCAGTTGATCTGTTCCCGATGCCTCTGCTCCTGTTCCAGCGATTTCTGTTGCAGTGGCTCCAGCGGCTCCTGTTACCTCCTTATCAACAATTGCCGATGTTGGTGCTTCCACCTCGGTTGCAGGGAGGGATGTTGATTTTGTCGCAGCAGTTATTGGAGATTTATTATCATCGGTGGTTGATACAGTTGGTAAAGATACTGTTGCATTGCTCTCTGTACAGTTGCCTAGGGTCTCGTCATTGGTGGTGGAGGACAATGTGTTGGCACCTGGTCCAACTCTGAGTGTTGCAGTTCCATCCACAGGTCAGTCAAGCCCCACGTTAGCGGGCTCCAAACAGGTTCATCCGTCCCGGTCGAAGTCTTGTTCGCCCTTGCAATAAGGGTGGTCATCATTCCCTGTCCTTGCCTCCTAGTTCCTCCAATCCTAGTGACTTATTCGACGATTTTTCATTTGCTTCTTCCCCTCCCCCCCCCCCCGATCTGTGCATCAGATGATGAAGTTATTCCTGATGATCTTTTTTTTGCTTCATAC